AAAAAAAAAAAAAAAAAAAAAAAAAAAAAGAGCATTAATTTTACTTTTTTTGTTTTAATTAAATATTAAATAATTTCATGCAATGTCATAGATAAATCCATTGAAGCGACAAGCAAAAAGTTCACAACGTGGCGGGTTAAGCTAATATGAAAGCATTTTCTTTGACATAAATTAAGGGTCCGTTTAATTATCTGATTTGAGTTTTTAATTCGAGTTCAGATGTAATTTTATATGATAATTTTTTATTATAGTAAAAAAGTTAAATATAATTATTTTTGAGAGTTTTTTACTATATTAAAATTTAAATTTTAAACTCAAATAAGTGAAATGAACGAGCCTAATTACCCCATAATATATGTAAATGTATGTAAAGTATAATCAGTGTTTCACTTGGGACACCATCTAACATATTTTGATGCCTTACTTTTAAATGGTCCCACTGAAGTCATCATCGTCACAATCTTATAAAATCTTGTAAAGTGGATCAAACTATAACTAGCTTTTAGAAATATATATATATATATATATATATAATTAAAGCAATGTTGGGGGTAAAACGAAGAAATTAATTTGCTCACTTAAGTACTGTACATAAGTAATTTAAAACTATATAATAATTGAAAAATCTGTCGGTAACAAATATTAAGAATATGTAATGCTCTTCTCCTCGAGCAGGCCTTGATCAATGGTTAGTGGGGGCTCAAGCCCTCACTCAACTTATTTGTTCTTATAAAAAGTACATATATGAATATGTAATTCATCATATCAATGTATACACACAGCCCCATTGAATATTAAAAATTTAATCTTATAATCTTATTACTATTTTTTTTTTTTAATTATTAACTCCCACTAACAAAAGTTCCTGGCTCCAATATGAGTTTGGGGTTGTATTCTTGAGAAACTAATTTGTTTAGTTGGTGAATCATTAGATCAAAGTCATCTTGGGACCTCACAAGCGAAAGGCGCACATAACGTTCCTCAGCGCCAAAAACGCTACCTCTGCGACCCTTAATATTGGCTTCTTCGAGGACTGCATAGCAATCTTTATCTTCTTCCCTCTCACACTTCAACCATGCGTAACCTGCCACAAGTATATGCATAATAACTTGAGAAAATGTTTCTTCCAAAAAAATAAAAAAAATAAAAAATCTTTTGGTAATCACCAAATTAATTTATTGTTCTATATAGAAATTATTATTAAGTTTACGGCTATTAGTCTAGGGTTAGTCTCACAAGATACCGACTTCTCACAACATACATTCACTTATATATATATTTGAGAGAAAGAGGAAAATAGGCTAAGACTTGAGATGAGTTAAAATTAATAGGCCAATAGTTTACATAAGTTACTAAATAGGCCAAATTACTGTTTTCGTCCATAACTTGCTGGTTATGAACCATAACTTGACAAGTCATTCCCGATTTTTATCCATAACTTGTCTGGCTATGAACCATAACTTGACAAATTTGTTTATAACTTATCTGGTTATGAACCATAACTTGACAAGTTATGGCCTATAATTTCTATAACTAAAAGTTGACATATATACTTTCTTAAGTTTTTCATATTGGCTTATTTCCCTATATTTTTTTATAAACTTTATAATAAAGTGTGTTTGACCTTAAACTTCTCACGTTTAGATACATATGTCGGAAAAGTACAAGATAATCTTTAGATGACTAAATTTCTTAGTGTTAGAGCTTCCTAATATCACTGTTACGTTTAATTACAGTCATGTTGCGATTTCATTTCGTCATATCACGTTGGGGAAGACTGTATATATATTTATGATATAGATACAGGTAGATATTTTTAATATGATATAATTACCTGGCGAAGGTCCTCTAACTGCTTGGAAGAAACTACAGTACTGAGCTCCTAGTTTCTGGAGAGAAAAACGACTAGAAACTGACAAAGTCTCATTCAATTTTTCCCAACGGTTGCTTAGCGTTTTGTAGCCAAACTCAAATATATCCTTTCCATTCCCTTGAAGCGCCACCTTTACAAGCTGTAATGCTCTTAACTGAGCCTCGCGAGAAATGCCTATAGTATTTAGGCTCACATGCGTTAACATTCTTTGATACACTTCCTCATCTTTAACCACTGCCCACCTGCATATAAACATATTCAGTGACGGAATCAGCCTACCACTTCGGTGGAACATACACTATTTTTTTTAGAAAATAATAACATAAAAAAATAAAAAAATAAAGTATCACAATATTTTTTAAGAACTACTACATACATTATGTATTAAAAACTCGTATTATTCTTTCGAAAACGCTACATAATATCTTTATTTTCGACACAATCAAAGATTTCTTTCTCGATGTATATGACTAATGAAAGGTCAGGGTTAAATAAAAAGTAAAAAAACTAAAAAAGAAAAGTGATATAAAGTGGCCGGGATATATATATATGGATATAAAAATTTTGATTGGAGGTTTAAGAGTAAAATTACAAAATTTTCAGACCACTCCCCACTGGGCACCAAGTGTAAATCCGCCACAGCATATACGTGCATACATACACATACATATACATTCATATATACATATACGTACACACATGTATGATTTTAGTCCCAAAATTTTTTAAAAAGTACTCTGTCAAATATTTGACATAAATATCAGCAGCAAAAATATGATACGTTATTTATTTATTTTTACAAAAATTAGCTTCAATGACTGTGTGTGTTTTCTAACTTGGGGAATCAAGACCATCTATTTTGAAATATAAACATCAAAATGAAATTTTGATCAGTTGTCTTCAATTTGATGGTCGAACCAGTCCATCAAATCAAATATATATATATATATATATATTTGTTATTATAATATCAATTATATGTCTATATAACACAATAAAATATAGTGTAAAGCCATATTACATTAAACTGATATTACTATATTACAAGTAAATGTTATATTTGTTGTTTGTTACGGCCACCGAACTTAATAATTTGCTTAAATAATTAATCTACTTTTTTTTAATTCTAAATGACCACTTTAAATTAAGGAAGGAAACGTTATAACTTATTACCCGAATCTACTACCAGCATGGCCTGTGAGCTTGGAGAGTGAGAAAAGCATAACTTCTTCATTGGCCGGAGCTGAATCGATTGCTGTAAAGTGGGGCCAATAATAGACTCGGTCATATATGGCTTTGACATTTGGGCCATGAAGAACTGATTTTTTCAGCTGCCCATCTGGATTATTTGGTGAGGTTACTAACTCAATTAGGTTAGTATTATTTGCATCTGAGTTGTTCTTCCATAAAGATGCCTCTCCACCAAACTTAAATTTCATTGATTCGAAGTAGTCCGTTTGCGATTTGTAAGTCTAACAAATTGGGGAAAAAAAAGAACAAATTTTATAAATTCTTCGTGAATTTTTAGCACTATAATTATAAAAACGTGTCTCAAAAGTAACACAACATAATAATTACTTGTAAGGAAAAAATAAACAAAAAAGAGGTTCTGGCTTTGTTTGATGTCATGAGGTCACTATCATAATTGTATCATAGTCAAATATAAATATAAAGAAATCTAATCAAAAATAAAAATTATCAAATAATATCACCCAATTTCTAACTTCTCCTAGAATTTTATGCAAAAAAGAGTCAGATATATATATATATATATATATATATATATGTGTGTGTGTGTGTGTGCGTGTGTGTAGTAATTAATTGATATATATATATATATATATATATATGGTGGGCACTAGAGTTCTTATTTAAAACCGTTGCATTTGTTTTGATCATGTTCTAAAACATACACTACGTAACTTCAATTAAAAAAAAAAATCAAAAGATCATAATCATTTGGTCAGTAAATATATATATATATATATATTGCATGTGCATATTCAAAAGTAAGATGGCAAGTACCCCATAATAAGGAACTGAAACGACAACTCTAGCAGGAGAGGAGGAATTTTGAGGGGACAGGGCATGAATTGCAGCGCTGAGGAGTTGAATTGAGCCAACACCAAAGACAATGAATCTTTCTTTCGTGACTGCATTTCCAACAATCTCATGCAATTCGCGAATGTGCTTCTCCAGCTCTTCCGTGACCATGGTGCTACTGGCGTAGCCCATTCGGTGCCAACCCGACAATAAAACTGCACTGCTTTCTGCGTTTTCCGTCCAGAATGGCTCCAAGAAATATGGATTCCCGCTGCCAAAACAATACAATTATTGAGTATTAATTAATACGATGGACACGCGCTCAATGTGATTGGACACGCAAATCCATAATGTCAACTTTTTTATACGCTGTACTCATAATATCTCAAATACAATATTATGTAAATTTAAAATAATAAAAATTATTCTCTAATGTAATATTATTTATTATATTAAAATTTTTAAATGTTATATTTTATTTTAAAAATAAAAATTTATTTATACAATTTTTAAAACTTAATAATTATAAAAAAAATAAATTTAGGCTCTGTTCATTTCGTTTATTCAAGTTTAGAATTCGAGTTTTGTTATAGTAAAAAGCTTTCACAAATAGTCACATCTAACTTTTTTGCTACAGTAAAAAGTTCTCACATAAAATCACATCTCAACTCAAATCAGTGAACTAAACAAGCCCTTAACATTTTAAATAGTATTATGTATTAGAGTCAAAACGAAAATAATATAGCTAGTATAATAATTTTAATGCTAAATATATAATTAGTATTAATATTTATATTAAAGATGATCTTAGTGCTAAATTTTGCATCAAATAGAGAATACGATAAATTTAGCGCCAAAAAAAAAAAAAAAAAGTGATCTTTTTCTACCCAAATGCTAGAACTTAGCATTACCTGTCAACATCTACAACACAACCAGGTAAAATCTGGGAGCAGTCTGGACCTCCAAAGCATGTATTGCACTCACAAGGCGGCGATTTATTTCCATCAAGAAGACTTGGGGATCCATCCAGGTAGGCTTTTCCATGGCCAGAGCAAGAGATGGCCGCCACATACTCGGCTTCCACCGCCGCTCTTCTGCTCCAACTTAGCTGCCACCGGCCATCCCACAAGTTGATCTCATCATGATCTCTCAAGATAAAGAAGATATTGACAATAATGGAAGGGACAAGCAAAAAGATGACTACGTTACAGGCTGGGTTAATTTTTGTATCCTTTCCCATATTTTCTCTCCTGTACTTTAGTTATCCCTTTTTTTTTTTTTTTTTTTTTCCTTCATGGTAACCTTACTCGGCCTTTCTTATAAAGTGAAGGGATCTACAACGGAAAGAGACCCTTGAAAATTTTCAAACGACACGTTTATCTCGTACACATATTTATGTAAATGTATGCAATGGATAATTAGGGATTAAATCATCATGGCTTGCGACAGCATCAACACAAATGGTCCCGTCCCACTTATAAAGTCGTCGGTCATCATATAAAATCTTGTCAAGTGAAAACAAAATACGACCTTGCTTTTATCATTTTTATTATTAAAGCAATATATTGGAAGTATAGCCAAAGGATACCCTTTTTATATAAGTTGGAGTTGGAAATATTTAATCTCCAAATATAATCAAATATAAAATTTTTCCTAGATTACATCTATAACCATTAAAAAAAATCAACCGCAAGATTAGAAAAAGTAATATTAAGAGCAGCTGACATATTTTATCAAAACTAGTGCAAGATTCATACGCAATTATATAGCATGGCATGATTGGACCAACACTCTATTTACCTTCAGATGACTTTTACTATTTAGGCTCCGTTTATTTTATTAATTCGAATTTAAAATTTAAATTTTGTTATAGTAAAAAGCTCTCAGAAACAGTCACATCTAACTTTTTACTGCAGTAGAAAACTCTCACATAAAGTCACATCTCAATTCAAATTAAAAACTCGAATCAGCGAACTAAATACGTTTTTTCCATTTCCATCACGCGTAGTGTGTGTATGTGTGTGTGTGTATATATATGTGTGTGTGTGTGTGTGTGTGTATTATCATCATCAAGGTCAGTGATTCAGAGGAATTACAGGCTTGTAAAAACAAACAGATGAATCGTATGCTAGCTAATTAGAAAGGGTTTTCGAATTTTGTTTTTATAATTTAAACTCTTACCATAGGAATTAATATTTTGCAACGATTCGTTTATCTCGTACATATATTTATGTAAATGTATGCAATGGATAATTAGGGATTAAATCATCATGGCTTGCGATAGCATCAACATAAATGGTCCGGCCCCACTTATAAAGTCGTCGTATCATATAAAATATTGTCAAGTGGAAGCACAATACGACCATCCTTTTATCATTTTTAGTAGGAAAATTAGATAAAAAATTATTTATGGGTTACATATTAAAAAAAAAACTATTTGAGAAAAATGTTTAAGCAAAGACACATCCGAGAAGAAATTTTTGAGGGGAGAAATTAAGGAAAAACAGTTACCAGGGCCATGATTGAAAAAAAAATATATTGACTAAAAAACTATTTAGGTTTCACACATTTGATAAAATTTATTTTAATAAGATAGTTTAATAAAAAAAAGTTTAATCAAATTCATTTGAAAATATAAGATTTAGAAATAAATAAATAAAAAAATGGATTGAAATGCACGTTTGAACCAGGCGTGCATTTTGATTAAATGTCTGTGTGGGAGAAAGTGTCTGTAGATAAATAATCCATATTTTTTTAACAGAAAAACTTAGAAAAATCATATAGAATATTAATTAGGATGTACATGAGAAAATAAGAGTTAATCAGAAGACCACATAAAATATAAAAAATAAAATTTGAGTAGGGACATATGTTAGAGAAAGGATTTCAATAGGATTAATTAGAAAAATAACATTTATGAGATAAATAGTAATTGAGAGTGTCATCAGTAAAAATAAATAAATAAATAATAAGCGAATAAATATTTGAGAATCAAAACGAAGCAGGTCATAATAGTTAATTAAGAAGAAATAGGAGCAAAATTTGCAGGTCACTCGTGATAAAATGATCTTTTAGAAGATATAAAGGAATATGTAGGATAATTAGAAGAAAAAAGTATTCTAGTAACACACATTAAAAAATAATTTAACGTGTTAAATTTGGAAATATAGAAGATATTATGAAAAACGTAACAAAAAGAAAAAGTATAAGGGTGAGAATAACAAAAATGAAGAACCAAAAAAGAATATAGAAAAGGAGGGAGGACAAAAAACACATCGATTTCTTCATTGCATATTGGATCTGAGCTGTCGAAGAATAATATGCAGTCGAGAATGGATTATATTTTGTTACTTTCTCCAAAAACTAGTATATACTTTGTCAAAAAAAAAAAAGTATATACATAATAATAATATATCTAAACTAAATGTACTCTAATCTAAACGTATATATAAGTGTTAAAAAGAGGTTGGTTTCTTTTTGATCATGTGCCAACCTCTCATTTATTTATTCATCTTTTGTTTTTTGTTTTTTGTTTTCACTATTCTTTTTACTTTTAATTTATTTCTTTTTTAGACTTTCTCCAGTACACTAACATATCGGTAGATCAAATTTTTTATCTGTTAGATTTGTATAAAAAAATTTTTTTTAGAGAAGGGGCTTTAAACTTTTATATAGTTTATTTTTAACTTTTATTCTTTTTCTTTTTAAAATTCTATCTTCTTTTCTTTTGTCTATTGTCTTTTTTCCCCCTAATATTATTTCACAGTTTATTTTTCTTTACAATATCTTTCTTTAAAATATTTTCTTTTTTCACTTTTTTTTAATTGAAATAATTGATTTCAAATATCTCCCTATTTAAGTTTTTTTGCTCAAAACTCCTAATAACTTTAATTATTTTTCGATGTAATTTTTTGAAATATTTTTTTTTTCTATTATTCTAATTAATGGACTTAGTTTCTAAGAGCGCTCGCATTTTGCTCAAAACTCCTAATAACTTTAATTATTTTTCGATGTAATTTTTTGAAATATTTTTTTTTTCTATTATTCTAATTAATGGACTTAGTTTCTAAGAGCGCTCGCATTTTAACACAATATCAAACTTATAAAATAATTCTTTATGCACATAGCACGTGGTTCAACTAGTATAAAGAAAAAGAAAGAGACATTTTTATTTAATAATATCACTTAGAACATTTCTAATGTAATGTTATAATTGATGTATCAATTATAAATTTAACATTTGAGTGTAAAAAATATCTCCAATACAATGTTATCTGTTGTGCTAAATTTTTCATATGCTATTTTGTAGTAAAATTTTCACCAAAAATAGCATATGAGAATTTTAACACTTCATTGCTATTGATTGAAATATTTACTTTTTCATGTTATCATTGCAATGTTTGCATTTTCTAATTTTTTTAAAAATAAAAATTTACTTTTACAATTTTAAAAACTTAATGATTATTTTAAAAAAAATTAACATTTTAAATAATGTTATGTATTAAAATAAAAATAAAAATAACATAATGTATCATAAATTTTATGCTAAATATATAATTAACATTAACATTAATATTATTTTTTTTAATATTAAATATATAATTAATATTAATATTTACATTAAAAACGATCTTAATAATTACGTTTCAAGCGGTTTCTGAAATATCTGCCCGCTAGGGTCATCTGTGCATATCTATTTTCCATTTTTCCATTTTGACAATTCTACCAAAAGAGTCGTGAAAACCATTAATTTGATGGTTTTTGATTAGTCGTTACGTGTACGTATTTACTACTGAGACAAAGCCTCGAATAATATGTTGCAAAGACTGAAGAAATTTAAAACACACGTTGTTGACGTCCTTATCCAAAGGGCGTGTCTTTGACTTTTTTTTTTTTTTTTCTTCCTTCGCTACTCACATGTCTTTGACTTGAATTATAGACTTTTGTCCTTTTCGTCCATTCCTTAAAATTGTTTGCTGATTATTTTTGATCATTCAAACTACATAATGACTACGGAAGTAATTTATTTAACTTTAATAAATAGATATAAATAAATATTTGCTACTCTTAGTAAATAAATTATTCACCTAGCATGCGCTATTTGCTTCAAATATTTAAAACCTTGTTATTTAGTTCAAAAAAGTGCTATGTCTCTCTCTTCCTTAATTATCATGTTTTTACTTACTTGATTCTTTGTTTATAAATTTTGTCCTTATTAATACTTTCTGTTGTGTGAAAAAATGTGGTTGACATTAGAACGACGACAGCCTGACACGTGACACTATTTTCCCTCAAAATGTGACAACTCTCAACGCTTGAAGCTCGCTTACCCTCAATGCTCTTATCTTATTAAGCTTATGCCGTCGCTAATTACTTAAGCATCGACAAGTCAGATTTTTTTATTTTTTTTATCTTTTTTAGTTAGGAGGATTAATAGTACATCAGATATTTATCCTCGATGGGTTTTTATGCCATTAAATATTACATAAAAACTTTTATTACCAAAATCATTGAAAATGTTTTAAATTTCTATTCATTGATTACATAGTTGATTCTTGTTTAAATATTAACGTAAAAAAAATATGTTTTTTTGTTTAAAATAAAGCAAACAGAATAGAAGTACAATAAAAAAACAAAAGGAATAAAATGTTGTAAACATACATTAGCAAAAAAAAAAAAAAATGTTGCAAACATATCACAATCACGTGTAATTAATTACTTTATTTTGATGTTACATTTTTCTCATCCACAAATAATTGTTTTGTTACTTTTGTACAGTTTCTATTTAAGATATATATAGTACTTACTACTGGTAGTTGGAATTTGGTTTAAAGTGATACTTCTTTAATTCTGAACTTTTAATTTTGACAATAACCCCTTCAATTGTTATAATTAGGCACATTTGAATAAATTATTCAATTGTTATAATTAGGCACATTTGAGTAACCACTTAAATCTTAAAAGAATTACCGTTTGAGCTGCACGTGGGGTTTTTAAAGAGTATTTTAGTAAAAGCTTATTTATATTTTAGCAAAAAAAATAATAGTAATGAAATTAAGAAAAAAAACATTATAAAAAACATAAAAATGTGATTAAAAAAACATAATTAAATAATTAATATAATACACACTAAGCTTCTCCGTGGGAAAACCTTAATTCAACCGGATAATACTATCTCCTCCACAGTGGTTTGTGTGAGGCGACACTCACTATCACGTGTGAGATCGGGGCCGGAGTTGGGATGTGCCGCCTCCTGGCGGCCTCTAAACTCTTGGCCCTTTGACTTTCTTCTTCTTTCTTTTTC